CTTCACAGCGGTTCCAATACTGCAAAAGTTTTGGTCAAACTTTAAAGTTTTAGTTTAAAGTATGAAAAGCCTTACAATTGTTGTTTTATTTATGGATTTAAACAATAAATAAATTTTTATAAATGAAATCAATTCTTATTTTCACTACAAATTCATATTTAGAATTTAAGTTTTCAATATTAATTTGTAGTATCAGTGAAAAATGACTTAAAAAATAAAATTAATATATTTATATTTATCATCTAATTACTTTAGTTAAATTAGTTATATCCAGGATCACCAGATAAGTGAAAATAAAAGTGGATATTATTAAGACGGCTATTTGTATCCATGTGATTCATACAAAACTTATTCACTATTTTGATCTCATTTGAATTTTAAAATATTAATCTTTTAAAATAATTTTATATGAATATTGAACTGATAAAACACTGAAACTTGTATTTATCGATCAGAAAAATATATTACGAATAATAAAATATACTGAATTTGGAGTCATCAACGAATTTCCAAAAAATTATAATAAATAGTCACAATTTTATCAAATAAGTATTTATATAAACTAATAATCATATTAAATTATTATAAAGTATTCATATTTTTGAGAATTATAAAATTGATTAAAATAGTGAATAAGAATTGTATGAATCACATGGATACAAGTAGCCGTCGTTATAATACCCATTTTTATTTCCACTTTTCTGGAGATCCTAGTTATATCTTAATCAAATATACAGTAATACACAGTAGAGTATTGCAATATAATTGAAACTATCAAGTTTATAAATGCAATATATGTTATATATTTTAAGTGTAAAAATAAGTTAATTTTGCTATTTTTTCACCTTGTTACTGTATATTCATTTAATTTGCCAATAATTTAAATTTAACTTTATTTTCATTTATCAGTTAATTAGAAATTTGTTTGACCTATAGGTGACTAAATGAGTTCAATAAATGTTATTAATTCAGTGAATATATAAAGTTTGGATTTTATTGAAAACTTAATTATAATAAATAAACCAAATATCATACATTTGTACAATAAATTAATTTTTTTGTATATTTTATGTAAAACATAAAACAATAAAACATAAAATATACCCTATATGTTATAATAGATATAGGCTAGTTTTGGCCACATTGAGAATCAAACAAGTTTACTAAAATTATTTCCTTAAAATGTTTGAATGCAAGCAAAATGTTACCCTTTTTTCCAATGCTATTCAAGCATTCATTAATTGACTGCTTTGAGACTTTTGTGTTTTTTGTTTATTTTAAAGCGCGCTATTGTCTTTGTGTTAGAATTATGACCAGGGTATACAAGTTATGAACATTTTGTAATATAGGAATACAATTTTCATCCTTTAGCAACATTTTGGTACTCATCACCAGAATATTCTAATTATTAATACCTTAATTTTTAATATGAAATCCTTGGTTTGTAAATGAATACCCCTTATTTAATATATTAAATTTTATACATTAAATATAAATTACTTATCAATAAATATAAAAATTTCTAGTAACTATACAAATTAGAAACCTTATTCAAAAATTAAATTTTAATGTTTAAATGAATACAATTTTAACTACTACTGTAATTTGACCATAATAATTTATAATTGTCACTAAATGATCCGTAATCAAATATATGCAATATAACAGTTGAGTCATTGATTTTTAATCAAAAAATATGATCATAATTGGAAATTTTTAACTACTACTGTAATTTGACCATAATAATTTATAATTGTCACTAAATGATCCGTAATCAAATATATGCAATATAACAGTTGAGTCATTGATTTTTAATCAAAAAATATGATCATAATTGGAAAATGCTTAGCAATAATCAGTCAATTGTTTGTCTCAATAATACAGTTATGAATGTGTTTTATGTGATAGTATTTACACTATAATAGAGCTGATATACGTTAGTCATTAAAAGTATAACTATTTCACCATTTTATCAAATAATTGCTTATATTTCTGTAATAATTCTGATTTTAAACATATTTGAGTATTATCTATTATCTATTTATTCTGTAAATATATATTGTATCTTAATTTTTTAAAACTAATTTTATAATTGAAAATTTTTTGTTTTTAATCAATTTTATAATAAAAACTAGTTTATTGCATTAAGTCAATACAACAATCATTTTGTGAATAAATCACATTAATAATTGTTTCATATTTGTTATTATTATGGCTTCCGTTATAAATAATTATAAAATTTGTGATCAAATACCCGAACATTTAAAACAAGAAATTAAATTATTTTATGTTTTCGATGACGAGAACGGACATAACATACTTTTTGTTACGTTTGATGATATGGTGTATGGCTTGGGATCTAATTGTTGGGGTCAGCTCGGGTTAGGACACAACATACCCATTGAGACACCGGTAGAAGTGCCACAATTATGCCATCAAAATATACATCAGTTTATCAATGGATGTGGCTTTGTATTGGCTGTCAATACGGATAATAATGTGATATTCAGTTTTGGTCGCAATGATCGGGGACAATTGGGACGGCACGTGGACAGTAAACTACGTACTGTATTAATTTATATCATTAAAATCTCGCCGCGTGCGGATTTATATCATAAACCTGGTACTACTTCATTCCTCAAATCAAATAAATTAAATATTCAACAAATAAGTTGTGGTTATAATCACACAATTGTATTGACCACAAATGGACGGCTATTTGGATGGGGTTATAATGAACAAGGGCAAATTGGTGGTGGCAATGGACGTTACATCTTAACGCCAATTCCTATTGAATTTTCTTCGGACTATAATATTAGTAAAATTATGTGCGGAAGATGGACATCAGTTGCCATTACCAGTGATGGACAGGTGGTTATTTGGGGATGTATGGGGTGTACCACAATAGGACGGCCCCAACTATTGGACAATGTATTTAATATACACAGTGTTTGCTTAGATGAGAGTGAATATATTTTCTTTCTATCAAACGATGGATTCATATATTTTTATCGATTTCGCAACAAATGTATGAATAGATTAACACATATTGTATTCAATGAACTCAAACAAATATATTCGTATAACAAGTGTACTGAAGTAATTGTGGGCAAATCTGGTCATCAAATATATGAAATTTCTTGTCAACAACCCTTTGAAACCAATTATACATCATTTGATGATTACTTTTCACGTAAATTTCAAATCACTTTCAATACAATTTCAGCACATAATCAACAAAATACAGTCCAAAACCAATTGAATGAAAACATAGACATATTATGTGGTAAATAATGTATTCAACTTTTAGTATTTATTACGGTATATTCATAGAAATAAATATATAGTAGTATTAATTATATAGTATTGTACAATAATCTTTACGATATAAACTTCTCACTACTTAGACAATGCAACGTTTGACGAGTCATTTGATGTATTATATAAACTTGGTGAGGGTGGTTATGGACACGTATATAAAGTACTAAATAGATGTTACAAAGTGTTATATGCAATTAAGAAATGTCCACTAAATGGTAATTAATTCATTTTATATGTGATACAAATTATAGAGTAATTATTTCTACAGTAATTGTTTCTTAAGGATTGACAGAAAAAGAAAAAGAAAATGTTTTGAATGAAACGCAGTCTTGTGAAACTTCGGTCAGAGTTTGTGATTCAATACTACTATTCATGGATTGAATGCAATTGTCTTTACTTTCAAATGGAGTTATGTATCGATAATCTCAACAATGTTTTGGAAACTAAGAAATCAGTGTTTAATGAAATGACTATANCTCAGGTCCGGTATTAACCTCTGAACGTGTATATCAATATCCATAAACAAAACATACATACAATCCGTTCTTTATATCATTTGTATCGAACCCAAAAATTTGAGCCACAATTAGGGATAGACTGTAGATATCTATCCTATGGTCGTAATCAATTGGATCTGAATTTACTTCCGGTGCCTGATATGACAGATCCCCGACATCTGCCGTATGTTTAGTTTTAGACATCCGATACCAATCAGTATTTGCAAGTTCTTTAGCCAAACCAAAGTCACATAACTTTATGCGTCCGTCCATTGAAATCAACACATTATCCGGTTTGAGGTCTCTGTGAATGATATGCTTTTCGTGCAAATATTGCACACATTCTGTGAGTTCATAAAATATATGATACGATATACAAATCTCAGTTATAGTCATTTCATTAAACAATGATTTCTTAGTTTCCAAAATATTTGTCAAATTAGCGAAACATAACTCCATTTGAATGTTAAGACAATTGTCTTTCTTATCAATCCATGAATAGTAGTATTTAATGACAAACTCTGACCGAAGTTTCACAAGACTTTGCATTTCGTTCAAAACATTTTGTTTCTCTTTTCCTGTCAATTCTTTTGAAACAAATAAAAATAATTACTCTATAATTTGTATATCAGATATAAAATAAATGAATTACTATTTAGTGGACATTTCTTAATTGCATATGAACGTTTGTCAAATTTGTTTTTAACTTTGAACACCTGTCCAAAGCCACCCTCACCAAGTTTATCAATTTCATCAAATGGCTCATCTAACGTTACATTTTCTAAGAGTGAGAGTTCATATCGTAATGATTATTGTAAAATACTACAGTATATAATTAATACTACTGCGGTATATATTTATTTCTATGAATATAATAAATACGAAAAATTTAATTCCTTATTTACCGCATATGTCTGTGTTTTCATTCAATTGGTCTTGGACAGTATTTTGTTGAATATGTGTTGGCATTGTATTGAAAGTCATTTGCAATTTAAGTGAAAAGTAATCATCAAATGATGTATAATTGGTATCAAAGGGTTGTTTACAAGAAATTTCATATATTTTATGACCAGATTTTCCCACAACTACTCTAGTACGCTTTTTATACCAATATATTTGTTTGAGTTCATTGAATACAATATGTTTTAATATTTTCATACATTTGTCACTAAAATCATAGAAATATATGAATCCATCGTTTGATAGAAAGTAAATAAATTGACTCTCATCTAAGCAAACACTGTGTATATTAAATACATTGTCCAATAGTTGTGGGCGTTTCCAAGTGGTTGACCCAACCTCTCCCCATATAAACACCTGTCCATCACTGGTAATGGCAACTGATGTAAATAGACTGCATATAACTTTATTAATTTTATAGTCAGACAATTCAATAGGAATTGGCTTTAAGATGTAACGACTATTTCCACCACCAATTTGCCCTCGTTCATTATCACCCCATCCAAATAAGCGTCCATCAGTTGTTAACACAATTGTGTGATAATAACCACAACTTAATTGTTGAATATTTAATTCATTTGATTGGAAGAATGAAATAGTACCAGGCTTATGATATAAACCCCAACGCGGCGAGATTTTAATGATATAACTTA